TACATTCATTGTTGGGATCATGTACCTTTACATGGCAAGTCTTGATTCTCATTTTTTCCCCTTACCTCTGCCCTCCCTTCACCCCCTCCTCCCCTCCCCATCTACAAACACTTTATTTTCATCTTTTCATTCTCTCACATTTTTTTCTTTTCCCTTTTTGTTCTTCCCCTATGTATCACACCTTCCCTACATCTTTAGCTCCTTTCCTCCCATTTCTAAATGTCAGTAATCTTATTAGAATCTTATGCATTGTTGCAGAATATTCACACCAGGGAAACTATTCGGTATTTACACATGTGGGACTTATTTATTTCACTTAGGAGTATATCTTCAATATGTATCCATTTTCCTATGAATGAATCTATTCTCTCGCTCTTTATGGCTGAGTAATATTCCATTTTATAGAAAAACCACAACTTCTTTATCCAGTTTCCAACGGATGGGCAAATAGGTTGTTTCCAAGATTTAGCTATTACAAACTGTGCCGCTATAAACATGGGTGCACATACTTCTCTGTGATATGATTCTTTCAGTTCTCTTGGAAAGATACCCAACAGAGGGATGGCTGGGTCAAATGGAACCTCCAGTCCAAGCTCTTTGAGGTATCTCCATATTGATTTCCATAGTGGTTGCACTAGTCTGCACTCCCACCAACAATGGAGGAGGGTTCCTTTCTCCCCACAACCCCGCCAACATTTGTTATTGTGTGATTTCTTGATAGCAGCCATTCTTTGTGGGGTGAGGTGGAATCTTAGTGTTGTTTTCATCTGCATCTCTCGAATGACCAGTGATGTGGAGGGAGGGTGGTTTTTTGAGACAGGGTCTATGTAGTGAGACTGACCTGGAACTCACTCTGTATCCCAGGCTGGTGTCGAACTCAAAGAGATCCTCCTGCCTCAGCCTCCCAAGTGCTGGGATTACAGGAGTGTGCCAGGGCGCCTGGCACTTTTCAGTTTATTTTTACTCTCATCTTCCACTGTCCATATTCCTTTCTCCTCTTCCTCCTCCACCCCTTCCTTCTCTTTTTTTTGGCGGGGTGGGGGATACTGAGTATGGAACTTGGGACCTTACACTTGCACAGCAGGTGGCAGAGCCATTGAGCTAAATCCCTGACCCATTTTCCTTCATTTTTTGTGCAAAGTATTTCATAATTTTATTACACTAGTCTTTTGGGAGTCTTTTTTATCAGGACATTGTGTTTACCAGGATTTTGTATTAGGGAAGAAGACTTATGTAGAGTACTTGATGTTAGGTCTGACAGTGGAGATTTACTACAAGTTAGGGCTGGGGAAGTAGCTCAGTGTGCACACCAGCCTGGCAAGTGCAAAGTCCTAGGTTTGATTTCTGGCACTGGGAAAATAAACAAATAAATAACCAAATGAGGAAACCCCTGCTAACATGTAAATAGTATCATCTTATAAAGTACAGTTAAGTTTAAACTCAGATAGTGGTTTATAATTGCAGAAGAAAGAGGTGGTTTATCTAATTAGTTTTTGTGGACCTTTTTAGAAATTGTTTTTCTTTTTGAGAGAGATTCTTCCTATGTAGTTTAGGCTGTCCATGAACTTGCTATGTAGCCTAGCTTGGCCTTGAATTCAGCCTCCTGGGTGCTGGACTTATAGCCACTTGTGGCTTCTTTTGTGGACCTTTAGAACATTTATAGCTTTTAAAAAACAACTTCCTTATAAATTGACACATGCAAATTATTAGAAATGAAGTAACTGAGTCAAATAGTTTAGTTAGGTTTCACAAATTTATTCAAATTTATATGGTAATTTAGTAGAGTATATATGAATAACATTTCTGTTAGTGGTTATGTTATCAAAATCCAATCATTGCACCTTGGATTTGCTGCACTTTTTTTTCATGCATATAAAAGTCTTTGATTTGGGTATCCTTTATTCTACATTGTTTATTATATATACTTTTCTCCATTCCTATACAATAATTTTGCTTATCTTTTTTACTTTCTTCAACCCTGAAAAGAATAGTGTATTATGCTTTGTTGTTACTTGTCTAGACAACTAATTATGCCTTAGTGTACATAACTATAAATATGTTCCAAGAACTCTGAAAAGAAATACTTGGCATTAGGACATAAGATCAATAAGGCCTCTCTTCTGCAACTATATAGGGACAACAGGGGTCTAGTAGAGTCTTGAAAATGTATTAGTTTGTCAGAGCACCAAAATTTTGTAATCTCTAAATTATTTCAGAGTAAATTCTAACTTTAGTTTTAGTAAAAGTGATTTGGTATTAAATATGCTTATTTGTACATTACTAAAAGTCAAATAGGTACTGAAACAGTCATCTTTGATATGAGTAATAACGTATCCCAGTTCCTTTCTTAAAACTTATTTGTGAGCTGGTGTTTTTGTGTTGATCAGACTGGTTTTAAATTCTTCTGCTTAGGTGATCTTCTAGCCTTAGCCTTTTGAGTAGGTGGGATTTCAGGCTTGCACAGCCATGCCTGGAACAGACTTTTTTAAAAAGATTATTGTAAGCGTGGTTGAGTTAGTCCAGGCTAGTTTTCATTGCAGAGGGTCTTTGAACTTGCTTTCGAAAAATTATAATCTGATTTGGTATCCTTTGCATAAATACAGATATTTGAAATATTCTTTTCTTCAAAAGAGAAAAAAAATTAAGCTGTTTCATATGGGAACTCTGTCCAACAAGACCTTTTCATCCTAACTGAATCTTTTGAGGAAGCTACAGTACTTCAATAATAATGGGAATTCTTTAGTCTTTTATTTATTTCTCTTACTCCTAGGTCTTTTTTGTTGTTGTTGTTGTTTTTTGAGACAGGGTCTCACTATATAGTTGAGACTGACCTGGACCTCACTATGTAGCCCAGGCTGGTCTCGAACTCACAGCGATCCTCCTGCCTCATCCTCCGGAATGCTGGGATTACAGGTTTGTGTCACCACACCTGGCCCTTAGGTTCTTTTAAAGAGACATTAGAACAGAGAGAATACTTTAGATATCTGAAATATCCTATGTATTTTCTTTTGCAGTTATCCTATTAAAAGTAAATTTATAAGCTATTCAAGTAAGACATCTTGAAAAAATCATTGAGAAACTTGAAGAACTTGAAGAAGTTAGAGTTTGACTTTAATGCGAAGGAAGCAGTTATTAAGTTAGTATTTTGTGCTCAGCACTCCATAAACACATATAAAATTTCTAATTAAAAATTGCTAGCTGGGTGGATGCTGTAGTGCATTCCAGCAATCCAAGTTACTGGGAAGGCTGAGGCAGGATTGTTAAGTTCAAGGCTAGCCTAGGAAGCATAGTGATTCTGCTTTCAAAAATGGGGGAGAGAGAGAGAGAGAGAGAGGAAGGAGGGGAAAAAAGAAAGGAAGGGACAGAGAGACAGAGAAGAGGGTAAAAGGTAATTACAGGAAGTATAGCATTTGCCCACCCAGTATGCATATATAAAGCCCTGTGTTTAATCCCAAATCTGGAACCAAAACAAAAATACATTGTATCAGCTTTTTCAGTATTAAGACTTTGTTGAAAGAAGTGTCCCCCAAGTTCTGTGATTAGTGATAACTCTTATTTACATTAACACTCATTTTGCCCCTGATGTTTTAATCAAGTCTTCATTTGTTGTTTTCCCTCCTGCAAATTCCTGAAGTATGTAGAATATTTGACTCTTTTAAGTACACCTTTTCTCTATTAAAAAAAAAGTAAAAGAACATGTGTTTGTGTGTATTGTGGAAGTAATAAGTATAAAGAGGAGTAGGCAATACCTAACTGAAACAGGTTTATAGGTTTCTAAAAGTTGATATATTTTCTGACAAAAAATAACAGTGAATAAGTATAAATTTTAGGCGTTTGTTTTTACATTAAAGCCTATCTTGACTCATAGCAAAGAAATGAAATTGTGAGCTATATTTGCAATTTAAATTTTAATAGTAGACCTATAAAATATAGTAAAAAGAAACAGGTAAAGTTAATTATATCTTTTAAATTTTTCTCTTTTTCAAATATGGCAGTATGAGCCGGGTTTGGTGGTGCACACCTGTAATCCCAGCACTTGAGAGGCTGAGGCAGGAGGATCGCTGCGAGTTCGAGACCAGCCTGGGCTACACAGTGAGTTCCAGAGCAGTCTGAACTACCCAGTGAGAGTCTGCCTCAAAAAACAAAAAAACAAACAAATATGGCAGTATGGAGAATTACAGGTAGGGTCTTGACATTGAGCTACATCACCAGTCATTATTTTATCTTAACAGGATCTCACCGAGGCTCGATACTTTGTTTTAGCCTTCCTTGCTGGAACTATAAGCCTATGCTTTATGCTATTGTATCTTCTGAGTGCTGGGATTGGTCTGCACCACCATATATGATTGTGGTAGTATTTTTTTATTTAACCTAATATTTTGAAAAATATTAGAGGGCTGGGGATTTAGCTTAGTGGTTCCACCTCCTGCCTCAGAAGTGTAAGGTCCCAAGTTCGATTCCTGGCACCCCCCAACAAATTAGGAGAAATAGTAAAGAATAGTTATGCTTTTTGTTATAAAATCTTTAGCATTTGTTGTATACAGTTATTTTTACACCTTGAAAATAGTTTCTTTTGTTGTTGTTATTTTGTAGGTTTTTTTGGTACCAGGGATCAAACTCAGGACCTTGCACTTGCAAGGCAGGTAGTGGCGCTGAGCAAAATCCCCAGCCCAAGAATAGTTTTTCTATTTGAACATGGAGTAAAGTAACAATTTATTTTATTTTTTTATTGTTTTGGTACCGGTGATTGAACTCAGGTCCTTGTACTTGCAAGGCAGGCCACCCAAGCGCTGAGCTAAATCCATGGCCCAAAATAACAATTTGGATTTGCACTTTTATGTAATATTATTTAGGTGCATTTAAATAATTTAATTCAGCAGAAAATGAAATTTATTGAGTGTGTTGATTTTTTTTAGCACTTGTAAAATATATATTCTTTTAGGGATGAAATGCATTTTTAGAGTTTTATTTTTTAAAATGTTGGTATTTTTCATTCCTAGGCTGTTCACTGCTATGAATCTTTAATGTTAAAAGCTGATGGAAAAGTGGAATCAGATTTCTTTTGTCAATTAGGTCACTTCAACCTCTTACTGGAAGATTATTCAAAAGGTAATGTATTTTTCTCTAAATTTTTGCTTGACTTTCATTTGTGTTATGTAATTATGGTGTTTTTTTAAAAATCAGAGGCACTTGCTATCGTCTTTTATTTTGACCTGAGAACTTCATAACTTAAGAAATGAAAGGTAGAAGAGATGGATGTGAAAATTTAATTAACTCTAGTAAGTCTTTAATCAATGCAGTGATTCAGTCAATATTTTAATGTCCTACATGTGAATGGTGTTTAACCTTGTATGTTTTCTGAAATTTCATCACAGTAGAAAGAGCATAAGTGTAGCATCTTTTTTGTTTTTTGAGAAAGGGTCTCACTGTGTAGTTAAGACTATAAGACTGACCTGAAATTCACTATGTACACCAGGCTGGTCTTGAACTCACAGTGATTCTCCTACCTCAGCCTCCTGAGTGCTGGAATTACTGGCATGAGCCACCATACCCGGCAAACATTTTTATCTGTAATACAAATCTGGACTTTTTGGAAAAAGAGAAATATCATTTCTCATTTTTATTCTTGATTTTTGCTAAAAATTTCCATTTGAATTGGAAAATGTTTAAAAGTATGCCATATAGTCATATTATAAGATAACATATCCTTCTAAGTAAGTTTGATACTTAGATTTTTCATTTAAAATGTTTTTCTTTACAGAAATAAGTGGAAATAAATATATTGAGATAGTTGTTTAAGGTCTGTGATATTTATATTACCAAACTGCTGACTAAAACCATTATTCATTGAACAGCTCTGACTTTGACTTCCATATGAATAAAGATGAAAACTATCTTAAAAGCAAGAATATTTTAGGGTGGGAAATTTAGCTCAGTGTTTCCTTCACCCGCCTTTCATGCACAAGGCCCCAGTTCAATCCCCGGTAAAAAAAAAAGAAAAAAAAAAACTTTATATGTAGTGGGTAGAAATGTACATTTTAGTAAACAGATTATGATTTTCAGCAAATGTAGTTAGGGGGAGAACAGTTGACTTACTATTTTAAGATGAGAGCTGGTGGATGGGAATGTAGTTTAGTAGTAGAAAACTCCTAGCACATGTAAAGCCCTGGCGTGGTTCCCACACATAAAAATGGGAACGTGTGCACGCACACACCCACCTGCCCACCCCCACACACAAATATCTTCACCACAGTTTGAAGATACAACAAAAAGGCAAAAATAAATGAAATATGTGTGTATGCGCTTGCGCAGAAAAATACACGGTAATATGTTTTGGCCGTGAGAATTCATATATAAACTAAGATATTTTAAAACAGGAACACACATGAAATAAGGCTTGGTATCTGTCAGTTAACGAAATTGTTGTGATCAGAGTTTAATAGGAACTTAATCCTATGTCTCTATAGGAGGGAAGTTCAGTAATTGTAATTTAGTAGTAACAATTTAGATGAAAAATGTTTGTATGGATTTTTGTTACAATATCTTTTCTTTAGTATTGATAATATTTTCCAAACAAAAAATTTTTTTCTCCTTAAGAAGATTGTACAAACAGTCTGAAGTCACACGCTTTCTTAAATCTTATTTTGATGCTTTCTATTTTGATTTTTCTATATTTCCTTTTTGGAATTTTTATAACAGATGGCTTTCTATTCTTTAGCCATTCCTTATAAAAACTTACTAAGAAACTTTTAGGTTGTGTAGTACCTATAAGTGACAGAAACATTAAATATCCTTATGTCATAGTCAGTATGGACCACATTTAGAACCTGAGAAGGCTTGACTTTAAAAATCACTTCTTTTTTTTTTAATTTTTTGGTTTTTTTGAGACAGGGTCTCACTATGTAGTTGAGACTGACCTAGAACTCACTGTGTAGCCCACGCTGGTCTTGAACTCAAAGTGATCCTCCTGCCTCAGCCTCCCAAGTGCTGGGATTGTTACAGGTGTGTACCACCATGCCTGGTTTAAAATCACTGCTTTCTTGCTATATTCTATTGTTTGTTTGTTTGTTTATTTGTTTTCTTCCTTTTGAGATAGAAAATGTTGTTCACATTAACCTTGAACTTACTATAATGCCTAGGCAGGCCTTAAATTCCTCTTGATCCTCTGGTCTTAACCTCTCAGGTGCTTTCTGTTGTCTTTTATATTCTCTTTTTAACATTGTTGATTATTTCTCATTTTAAAGACAAATCCTAATTAATGTTAATGTATATCATAATCATCATTTAAAAATATCATTGTATAGATTACTAAAATGATTATTAGTGCTGGTGCTTTGTGTTGTTTTGTTCACATCTGCATTTCCTGTACTGAGCTTTGTTATTGGAGCTTAATACTTGAGAAACATAAGGGGCTGGGGATTTAGCTCCATGGTGCCATGCCTTGCAAGTGCAAGGTCCCTTTGATCCATGTTACCAAAAAACAGAACAAAACAAAAATAAAAACTTGAGAAACATAGTCTGGGTGCTTCAGTGATTTCTTTGTTACTTAGAAGCATTTGTTAACATTTTGATGAAAATTCTAAAAGGCCATTGTATAAATTAAAAATTATCAAAATGTAAAATTTGGAGTATATTCTGCATACCATTTTATAACTTTAACTCAATGGAGCACACTAATCTAACCATGTCAAAATGGTTCAAATTTAGAAGCTATTTTAACATTTATAATTTGTGTGTATTATTTTATTACTTATGTAAAATATTTTATTAGGAGTTTTGGTTATTTGTTGTAAGTATAATGATTTTATTAGCACACTTAACTAAAATCTTCACACTTCCACAATTATTTTGTATCCTTTTTTTTTTTGTCCTGGGGATCAAACTTGGGACCCTACACTTGCAGGTCAAACAGTGGAAGCACTGAACTAAATCCCCAGCCCTATTCTGTATCTTTAAGTATTATTGGCATTAGGAGGGAAGAGATAAACACAACACATATATACAAATATACTAGAAGAACTTTACAGATGTGCAGTAATACACTCACTTGCTTTTAATTAATTTTTTTCTTTTCACGAGTAGTGTGAAATTGTCATTTGGAAAGGTTTACTAACATTGTAGAGTGAATAAACTCATGACTCATGTATTTAACTGTTTTTGTGATGAGATTACTTAATTAAGTCTATGGTCAACAATTTCAAGAAAATAATAATAGGGTATGGTGGCACAGTACAATTACAGCTACTTGGAAGAGTGAGGTAGGAGAATTACAATTTCTAGGACAGCCTGGGCGTCATGAGAAGACTCTGTCTCAAAAAATGAAAAACAACAAGAAAAAAAGGAAAACAAAAATAAAAATAACTGTTCTTAACTGTAGTCACCATGAAGTTCAAGAAGGTCATCAAGTTAAGTCAAGTGACTGTAGGTATAGCACTTTTTATTATTACTCATTTTCTTGTTTTCTTTCTTCTCTGTATTTCCATTCTTATAGTTAAAAATACTGTGAAGGATTATAGAACCTTTCCATTGTTTTTGTAGTTAAATTTAACTTGACTTTTACTATTTTCTTTTGAGATTTAAAGAATTTTTTTTGTATTGTTTTTTGAGACAGGGTCTCACTATGTAGTTGAGACTCACCTGGACCTCACTATGTAGCCCAGGCTGGTCTCGAACTCACAGCGATCCTCCTGCCTCAGCCTCCTGAGTGCTGGGATTACAGGCGTGCGCCACCACACCTGGCTTTTAATAAGATTTTTCATTGTAAATATATTTATATTTTTCCTTTTTAAAAAATTGTGTTTGTATCCAAGACCTGGATTCTATATACCTACCCTCTACCTTCCCTTTTTCATTATTTTGAGACAGATTCTTACATAGTTCAGGCTGGCCTTGAACTAAGTATGCATCCCATGCAGGAGGCAATCTTGTCTTAGCCTCTGGACTGCTGGAATTTTAAACATGTACCATCATCCCCAGATTCCATTTCCTTTTTAAAAGTTTTATTTTGAGGCAGGGTCTTGTGTTGTTCAGACGATCCTAGAACCTAAAATCTGTCTGCCTATGCCATCCAAGTAGCTGCCATTCAGTACAATGTCTGGTTTGTACTGCTGATTTTTGCAAAATATATATTTAATTGGTATTTAGTTCATAATTTTAAGGTATATTTTTCATGAGGAAATGAATTTTAGGTACTTTATGATACTTTTATTCAAATTAGAAATAAAGCATATCACAGACTAAAATGGAAGTAAAACAAATATTGCTTACAAGTGGAAAAAAAAGGTCTTTGAACTCAATAGTCCAAGTAGTTTTATTGCTAAACCTGGGAGGGGACTCTGTGTGAGCAGAACAAAGAAGGTATCCCTTCTAAGAGACTTTTAAAAATAAATAGTGTGTTGGGCTTTTGAGGATGTGGAGATACAGCAGATGTGCCTTCTGTAACCTGCTGACATGTCTTCAGAGGATTGCTCATAACCTGCTGACATATGCTGTATGATCCATTGACATTTCCTTGGGGGACTGTTTATAACTTGCTGACATGTCCTAGGTAACTTACTGACATGTACTCCATAACCTAAGTAAAGTGAAACCTACGTTTCTCTAAGGTGGTGGGTGGGCTCCGTCAAATTGGTGGTGTCTCTGTCTGATCTCTGATTGATAATTCCTGGCTTTAAAGGAGTGTGGGAAAACAGGTCATCATTCTTTTGTGGCTACTTCCTACTGAGAGGAGGAGATAAAGGTTTTTTGTTTTGTGTTTTAATTTTTTTTATTTTGGAGAAGCCTGGTAAAAGGTGAAAGATTTATATGATCTGAAGAGAAACCAGAGTATTGGAGAAGACTGTTTTGAGGTGTTTTGAGTAGCTGTCTGAAAGGTGTTCACTATTCATTCCTATAAAAAAAAGCTCTTTGAAATTGATTAATTATGCAGGGAAGAAAAAGGAAAAGAGTAATAAGCATTAAGGAAGGATCAGAGCGATTGAAGAGGAAAGGGAAACAGATTATTGTAAGAATCTTAAGGAGATTGTAAGAATCTTAAGCAGTTTGTAAGCTTTCATTAAGATGTTTTGCCCTCTCTCCAAAGTAGAGCATATATACTATCCTGTGAAACT